AGCCAGAGACACCTAACAATAAGTGACTTTGGCTCACAAAAAGCCCCCAAGTTCTCCTCTGGGCCATTGGAAAGATCCTTGGGAAGCCATTCTTATTGGAGTGGAAAAGACTCTACAACACTCATGGGCCAACTTTGTCCCTCCAGGTGTTTTGGACTTCAACTCTCACAATTCCTAACAGCTCAGGCCCCTTCTTTTTCCCCTTCAGCCGCTTAAGCTCAGGCCTCTTCTTTTTCCCCTTCAGCCGCTTAAGCTCAGGCCTTTTTCCCCCCCCCCCTTCAGTCGCTTAAGCTCAGGCCTCTTCTTTTTCTCCTTCAGCCGCTTAAGCTCAGGCCTTTTCTTTTTCCCCTTCAGCCACTTAAGCTCAGGCCTCTTCTTTTTCCCCTTCAGCCGCTTAAGCGGCTGAAGGGGAAAAAGAAGAGGCCTGAGCTGTTAGGAATTGTGAGATTTGAAGTCCAAAACACCTGGAGGGACAAAGTTGGCCCATACCTGCTGTACAAGATGCCCAATATGTTTGGAGGCATCTACAACCTTCCTTGCTGCATCTTCACATAACCATCGTGCTTGCCGCAGCGAACTATTTCACCCATCGAATGCACCGGCCCTTTGGTCTGCTTGCAAAAGTGGAGTGGCAAGTACGGTGACAGCAAAGTGCTAAAGTGGAGGTACTGTCAATGGCTTTCACGGCCGGAATCACAGGGGTGTTGTTGTGTAGTTTCCGAGCTGTGTGGCCTATGTGCTTTCTGCAGCGAACTATTACACCCATCGAATTCACCGGCCCTTTGGTCTGTCTGTGAAAGTGGAGCGGCAAGTATGGTGACAGTAAAGTGCTAAAGTGAAGGTACTGTCAATGGCTTTCACGGCCGGAATCACAGGGGTGTTGTCGTGTGGTTCCCGGGCTGTGCGGCCTATGTGTTCAAGCAGCATTTTCTCCTGACGTTTTGCCTGCATATGTGGCTGGCACCATCAGAGGATCTGGTGGTGGTAAAGCAAGTGGAGAGTATGTATGTATGTGTATGTATGTATGTATGTGTATATATATAAATATAGAGAGAGCCTTCTCTGCTGTGGCTCCCCGGCTTTGGAACTCGCTAGCTGGTGAGATTAGGAAAGTCCCCACCCTAAAAACTCTTCCGATGTACCTTTGGAGAGTGACCATATATTCCATTCCTGTTGTTTCACCCACACTGTTGTCCTCATGATGCACTTTCCCCCTGTCCAAACCCCATTGCTCCCCCTTCTTGGGCTCCTCCCTCACAAATACACTTTTTAAATTCCTATCTCACCCAGGTTTTTAACATTTTATCTCATGCATTTGGCCCGCCCTTTGTGTTTGATTTGTATTATATTATTTTGCACTGTTTACTTTATTTTGTTACTCTATGTATTTTGTTGTGATGTAATTTTTCTGTTGTTTTGTGTCTAACTTTACTGTATTATTTTTGGGCTTGGAATCATGTTAGCCTCCCCGAGTCCTCTTTGGGGAAATGGTGACAGGGTATAAATAAAGATTATTATTATTATTGTATTGTCGAAGGTTTTCATGGCCGGAATCACTGGATCGTTGTAGGTTTTTTCGGGCTATATGGCCATGTTCCAGAGGCATTCTCTCCTGAAGTTTCGCTTGCATCTATGGCAAGAATCCTCAGAGGTAGTGAGGATGCTTGCCATAGATGCAGGTGAAATGTCAGGAGAGAATGCCTCTAGAACATGGCCATATAGCCCAAAAAAATCTACAACATCCCATTATTATTATTATTATTATTATTATTATTATTATTATTACACACACCATTTCCCCAAAAATGAGACATCCTCTGAAAATAAGACCTAGTAGAGGTTTTGCTGAATTGCTAAATATAAGGCCTCCCCCAAAAGTAAGACCTAGCCAAGTTTCTGTTTGGGAGCATGCTCCCTGCTGTACAAAGGGTCCAGGAACTGCTCTGGCAGATTATTACCATCTGCAGACAACAAGGAGATCGTTCCAGTCTCTAAACAGTGTGTGAGAGCCAGGGACTTCACAACCCTTATTTTTTGTGGCCCTGTGTGTAAGGGTCAATGTATTTATTATATACTGACAACTACTGTACAGTATATAATAAAATGTTCATTTTTTTTGGTTCAACAATAAATGTGAATTCTTCTTCATGGAAAAATAAGACATCTCCTGAAAATAAGACCTAGTAGAGGTTTTGCTGAATTGATAAAAATCACGCCTCCCCCAAAAGTAAGAGCTAGCAAAGTTTCTGTTTGGGATAATGCTCCCTGCTGTACAAGGGGTCCAGGAACTGATGTGGGAGATTGTTACTGTCTGCAGACAGTGTGTGGGAACCAGGGACTTCACAACCCTTATTTTTTGTGGCCCTGTGTGTAAGGGTCAGTGTATGTATTATATACTGACAACTACTGTACAGTGTATAATAAATGTTCTTTTTTTGGCTCAACAATAAAGATGACGTCTTCTTCATGGACAAATAAGACATCCCCTGAAAAAAAGACCTAGTAGAGATTTTGCTGAATTGCTAAATAGAAGGCCTCCCCCAAAAGTAAGACCTAGCAAAGTTTCTGTTTGGGAGCATACTCCTGGCCGTACAAAGGGTTCAGGAACTGCTGTGGGAGATTGTTACTGTCTACAGACAGGGTGTGGGAGTCAGGGACTTCACAGCCCTTATTTTTTGTGGCCCTGGGTGTAAGGGTCAGTGTATGTATTATATACGGACAACTACGGTACAGTATATAATAAATGTTCTTTTTTTCTTTTGGTTCAACAATAAATGTGAATTCTTTTTCATGGAAAAATAAGACATTCCCTGAAAATAAGAACTAGTAGAGGTTTTGCTGAATTGCTAAATAGCAGGCCTCCCCCAAAAGTAAGACCTAGCAAAGTTTCTGTTTGGGAGCATACTCCCTGCTGTACAAGAGGTCCAGGAACTGCTCTGGGAGATTATTACCAGAAAACAAGGAGATCGTTCCAGTCTCCAAACAGTGTGTGGGAGTCAGGGACTTCACGACCCTTATTTTTTGTGGCTCTGTGTGTCAAGGTCAGTGTATATATTATATACTGACAACTACTGTACAGTATATTATAAATGTTCATTTTTTAGTTCAATAAGACATCCCCTGAAAATAAGACCTAGCACATCTCTGGGAGCAAAAAGTAATATAAGACACAGTCTTATTTTCAGGGAAACAGGGTACATACCTGTGGAATGTCCAGGTTGGGAGAAAGAACCACTATCTGCTAACCAAGTGTAAAAAGTACAATTATCAAGCTTGATTTGCAAATGTTGAGTGGAATCTGCAATTGCAGAACACATGATAAACCGAGCTGGGCACAGAATATTATTTGAGGACATTGAAATGCTGGGCCGCTCTGACAACCATCATGTCAGACTACATAGAGAAGCCATGGAAATCCATAAGCATGGGGACAATTTCAGCAAAAAGGAGGAAACCATGGAAATAAACAAAAACATCAGAATCAAGTAAGTAAGGAACACCACCCAGCCACAGGAGGCCTCCAGGCAGCAAGCAATGAAGGGCCAAGTGAATGCCACCCGGACAAAGGATGTCTCCAGATGATAAACATTTGAAAGGGCACAAAGGCCTGGCTACTTATAGACAGATGCCTTCACTATTGACTATGCAATCTTCCACCAACACCCCCTTTGGGCCATTAGAAGGGACACTGGGAAGCTCTTGGAAATGTCCAACGCCATTCTCTCTCTTTTTTTAAAAAAAAATTAAGCAAATATTTTTATTGAATTTTTAGGGGGGGAAAGGGGGGGGAAGGCTTGGGTTGCGGGGTTCTGTAGGAAGAATAAAAGGATTTGGGGGTGGGGAAGGTAAATCACTAGTGGGGAGGAGTAATGAGGTTTCCCTATGGGTGGAATGGTATAGAGATTGGGGGGGGGGAAAGGGGGAGGAGAGATAAAAATAAAATTTAAAAAAAAGAAGAAAAGAGAGAGAAAAAATGAAATAAAAAAAATAAAATTTGGGTGTAAAAATGGAAAGTGTAGAATAAAAAATAAAAATAAAAAAGGGGAAAAAGGGGGAGGAGAGATAAAAATAAAAAATTTTAGAAAGAAGAAGAAAAGAGAGAAAAACATGAAATAAAAAATAAAATTTGGGTGTAAAAATTTGGGTGTAAAAATTGCAAAAAAGTGTAGAATAAAAAATAAAAAAGGGGAAAAAGGGGGAGGAGAGATAAAATATTTTTTTAAAAAAAGAAGAAAAAAAAAGAGAGAAAAATGAAATAAAAAAAATTGGGTGTAAAAAATGGAAATTGCAAAAAAGTGTAGAATAAAAAATAAAAATAAAAAGGGGGAAAAGGAGGAGGAGAGATAAAAATAAAATTTAAAAAAGAAGAAGAAAAGAAAGAAAAAAATAAAATAAAAATAAAATTTGGGTGTAAAAATGGAAATTGCAAAAAAAGTGTAGAATAAAAAATAAAAATAAAAAAGGGGGAAAAAGGGGGAGGAGAGATAGAAATAAAATATTGAAAAAGAAGAAGAAAAGAGAGAGAAAAAATAAAATAAAAAATAAAATGTGGGTGCAAAAATGGAAATTGCAAAAAAGTGTAGAATAAAAAATAAAAATAAAATTTTCTTGTTATTTGGCTTCCGAATCCAGGGTATTAGTTTCTTGGATATTATTGGGGTGAAAATGGAATAACTCAAATACTTGCAAACCAAGCTTGCTAATCGAACGCCTGATACTTGATTAACAGACATTGGTTCTTTCCACACACCTGGATACGCCACAGGTATATATATACACTCCACTTCCTTTAACACCATCAGATCCTCTGAAGATGCCATTGGCCACAGATGGAGGCTGAACGGCAGGAGAAAATGCTGCTAGAACATACTGGTCATACAGCTCGGAAACCACACAACATCTATTGTCCTATTTTTATACCAGGCATGGGACAACTTGGGCCCTCCCTCCAGGTGTTTTGGACTTCAACTCCCACAATTCCTAACAGCCTACTGGCTGTTAGGAATTGTGGGAGTTGAAGTCCAAAACGCCTGGAGGGAGGGCCCAAGTTGGCCCATGCCTGCTTTACACCTTGGGTGGGAACCCCAGAATGATGCGCCGATGTCTGCTAGGACTCGAAGTCTACCAACATCAGGATGCCCGCATCCTTCCAAGCTCTGCTTCATGCAACACACGTCACTATTCCATCAAAACTCCCCACAAATGTCATCACAAATGAACCAGCGCAGCATCATGGAAGGTGAAGGAGGGTATGGCCTAAAGAAGCCAGAAGCATGTCTGTCAGTGAAGGAGAAAGCGGTGGGCAGCCTTTGTTCAAGTAGCCCGAACCTTCAAACCCCACTTCGCAGGAACGTGGTTCCGTTTTTGTGCGTTTTCCCCAAAGGACAACGTTCCAAGCACCTTGAGATGGGATGTACCTCTCTTGGTAGAGTAGACGTCCGTCAACCATCCCTTCGTGACGAACGGGGTCAATTTCTTGCCCTGTCAGTTATGGTGCGCATGAATGACTGACCGACTGACCGACCCTCGCTCCCGCCCACCCGGCTCCTCAGATGGCCATGAGGGGAATGCACCCGACCCCGACCCCTCCCTCGTGGCACACCATGGGGGCCATGAACGTCCAGCGGTTGGTGTCCGGGTCGTACATTTCTACGGAGCTGAGGTTGGACTGTCCGTCGTAGCCCCCCACGGCGTAGAGGCGGCCACAGTTCGCCACCAGCGAGACGCGGCTGCGGCGGGTGTTCATGGGCACGATCAGGTACCACTGGTCCGCCATGGAGTCGTACACCTCGGCGATGCTGAGGAAGCCACAGCCGTCGTAGCCGCCGCAGACGAACATCTTGCTGCCGAGCGCTGCGGCTCCGTGTCGGCAGCGTTTGTTGAGCATGCTGGCCACCGGATGCCACGACGCCGTGTGGTGGTTGTAGTGTTCTACCTGCAGAGGAGGCCAGAACGGAATGTGAGAAACAGGAAGACCAGAGGAACAGGTACAGACTTGAAAATCTCCAAAACAGTATTGACAGTTATATCGCAAAGTGGACAGGCAACCTGGGCCATACCATTGACACATCGGAATGGGAAAAAATATGGAAGATAAAACTAAAATGGACCAACTCCTACAGCCTGAGAGAGAACTGGATAAAGATGATGTTCCAATGGTATTTAACACCTAACAAACTAGCCAAATATTACAAAAATGTAAACGAAAGATGCTGGAAGTGCAAGGAGAAGAAGGATACTTTCCTACATCTTTGGTGGACTTGTGAGAAGGTTAAGAAGTTCTGGACGGAGGTACATAGAACAACAACTAATATACTGGAATTACAAATAGAAAAGAAAGCAGAATATTACTTATTAGGTATTTTGGATTTGGAGATCGACAAGAACAAAGATAGACTTCTATTCCACATGGCTACGGCAGCAAGACTTGTACTAGCAAGTAAATGGAAAAACGAAGAAATCCCAAAACTAGACGACTGGAGACTAAAATTAATGGACATAAGGAACATGGACACATTGACCCAACACATAAGATCAAAGCAAACTGCAAGAGAAAATAAAACGGACTGGTCTCCAATCACAAACTATCTAGATGGAAACTAAGGACGTAAACGGGACAGGGAGCAAATAAGAGAAAACAGAAGAAGAGCAAAGAAGACAACACAAGTACTAACCAATCACGGGGGAAATAATGAGTAAACAAAAAGGATACCACAATACTAACACACTCCACGTCTCACACCCCAGCCACTGCCCCCCCCCCCCCCGCCTCTTTCCTACTAGATAAGGACTGTCCCGTACCCTGCTTCCTACCCTTTATCTCCCTCCCCTACCCAGTAGTGAGGTACCTACCCTCCCGCCCCCATCCCCTCCCCCACTACACCCCTGCCCCAGCTTTTAATATACAGTCACTATGTCAATGATTAACACCTGATTGATGTAATGACAAAGAAACTCACAATAAAAATGAGAAAAAAAAAGAAAATCTCCCAGAATAAGTTATGCACAGGAAGCGTTTGGGCTTCTTATAGAACAGTGGTTCCAAACTTGTGGTCCATGGACCACCAGTGCTCCCCAAGAACTAAAATATGTTCTGCAGTCTCACTGTTACGACACCATTGCAACGAGAGCCATCTGGAGGTGTTCTGTCGTGTGCTGGGCCTGTAAATAATTGTTTTTAAATAGGACGTGTGACTTGAGCCCAGCGGGAAGCCAGGGGGCCCCGAAGAGAAGTTTTCAGAGGTTTTCCACCACAAATAGTCTTTAGATGGCTCGTGAAGTATAACAAACTCCTTTATTAATGAACAATCAAACAGAACTTATCTTGTCTTCAGAAAGTTAAACAAATGATTCCAGGCTTTTATGCAACTGGTGACTTCCTAATCTTGTGCACGAAGGACAGGCAATTGTCTTCAATAACTAATTCTTTGCTTTAAAGGAAAATCCCTTTTTTTAACTTCTCCCAGGCTGACTGTAATCTAATTCTTACTGATGTGGGCTCCGCTACCGGGTCGAATTGTGTCTCGAACGCCGAGTGGACCTACCAGTAAGGTTAGTAGATTCTCCAGCGGGAGTTCTTTGGTCTTTAGGGCTGTTTCCCTGGAAATCTTTGGAGACTCTTAAGACTGTTCTCCCCGGAAAGTCTTAAAGGTTGAAGCTTTTGTACAGGAGAAGCTTGAACACGTCCTGTACATTAGCTTTCCTTGTTGAGACTAACTAAAAAAATGGCTCCTTTCCCTTCCCAATTGCCCTGAGCAAGGGGCGGAACCAAAACTTAACAATGATGGACAGGTGACTTGCCCTATGACTGCAACCAAAGGAAGCCACCTAACTGCAGAAACCCAGGGACCTTGGACTGCAAGCAAACATTTAATACAAAGCAAATAAAATTGGAGCTCCTGGTACAGCCGTACCAGAACAGGAGGGATTTGCATGTTTTTGAACTGCTAGGTTGGCAGAAGCTGGGTTTAACAATTATTATTGTTAAATCCCTTTGAGCCAATGAAGAACCTATTCACAGTTTTGCTGGCCTATTTGCTAAGGATGTTTTAAGGCTAATGTAAGGTTATGACAACTTTTCCTAAACCCCTGAAATAAATCAGGAAAGAATCAGGTAACTGGCCTAAAATAGATCAGAAGAGCGACACTCACGCTGTTGAAGATCTGGAGCCCGTCGTGTCCGCCAGAGACGAAGATCCGACCTTCGAATACCGTCACTCCGGCCGCGCTGCGGTTGGAGCTCATGGGGGTCACCACTGTCCACCTTCCCAAGAGAGCGACAAAGCAAGAGAGATGAGTGGCAGCTGGCATTCAGAGCCATTGCCGCACGGGCACAGAGTAATGCAGGGAGGTTGCAAGTGAAGTTCAGAAAGACTCACCGGTCTGTTTCAGGGGAATAGGCTTCTACCGAGTTGAGGGAGGAAGTGCCGTCGTACCCGCCGCAAACGTAGATTTGTCCGTCCAACACTACCGTCCCCATGGCACTGGAAATAAGCCACAAATCTCAACAGTTAGTGGGACAACTGGCCAGTAACAAAGGCCTTAAAAACACTGATTACATAGAATCATAGCATCAAAGAGTTGGAAGAGACCTCATGGGCCATCCAGTCCAACCCCCTGCCAAGAAGCAGGAATATTGCATTCAAATCACCCCTGACAGATGGCCATCCAGCCTCTGTTTAAAAGCTTCCAAAGAAGGAGCCTCCACCACACTCCGGGCAGAGAGTTCCACTGCTGAACGGCTCTCACAGTCAGGAAGATCTTCCTCATGTTCAGATGGAATCTCCTCTCTTGTAATTTGAAGCCATTGTTCTTTGTCCTAGTCTCCAGGGCAGCATAGAATCATAGAATCAAAGAGTTGGAAGAGACCTCATGGGCCATCCAGTCCAACCCCATTCTGCCAAGAAGCAGGAATATTGCATTCAAATCACCCCTGACAGATGGCCATCCAGCCTCTGTTTAAAAGCTTCCAAAGAAGGAGCCTCCACCACACTCCGGGGCAGAGAGTTCCACTGCTGAACGGCTCTCACAGTCAGGAAGTTATTCCTCATGTTCAGATGGAATCTCCTCTCTTGTAGTTTGAAGTCATTGTTCCGCGTCCTAGTCTCCAGGGAAGCAGAAAACAAGCTTGCTCCCTCCTCCCTGTGGCTTCCTCTCACATATTTATACATGGCTATCATATCTCCTCTCAGCCTTCTTCTTCAGGCTAAACATGCCCAGCTCCTTAAGCCGCTCCTCATAGGGCTTGTTCTCCAGACCCTTGATCATTTTAGTTCGCCCTCCTCTGGACACATTCCAGCTTGTCAATATCTCTCTTGAATTGTGGTGCCCAGAATTGGACACAATATTCAGGTGTGGTCTAACCAAAGCAGAATAGAGGGGTAGCATTACTTCCTTAGATCTAGACACTATGCTCCTATTGATGCAGAAAGGGCTTGTTCTCCAGACCCTTGACCATTTTAGTCGCCCTCCTCTGGTTCTAGCCCAGTGGTTCTCAACCTGGGGTCCCCAGATGTTTTTGGCCAACAACTCCCAGAAATCCAGCCAGTTTACCAGCTCTTGGGATTTCTGGGAGTGAAGGCCAAAACATTTGGGGACCCACAGGTTGAGAACCAGTCTTAGCTGCAGTAGTGCTGACAAATACACAGTAATAATAATAATAATAATAATAATAATACTATTTATTTATCCCGGGGGGGGGGGGGGGGGGAACTCAGGGCGGTTTGCAAGCAACAACATCAAAATATACAGAGTCACAACATGAACAAAAAATAACAGTAACAGCAACATAAGCATGGAATATCCAACAACTCATAAATATTAAAAGGAAAAATCCTGCCTGCTCTTCATGTCATAAGCGTAGATTATAAATAAATATTATTTTGGTTTGGAAATTGAGATGTGCATTAGATTCAACAGAGCATTAGACTCAAGTAAATATGACTTTGGTTTGAAGATTGAGATGCGCATTAGATTCAATGGCACCTTAGATTCAAGTAAATATGGCTTTAGTTTGGAAATTGAGATGCGCATTAGATGACATATTAGACTCAAGTAAATATGGTTTTGGTTTGGAAATTGTGATGCGCATTAGATTCAATGGCACATTAGACTCAAGTAAATATGGTTTTGGTGTGAAAATTGAGATGCACATTAGATTCAATGGCACATTAGACTCAAGTAAATATGACTGGTTTAGAAACTGAGATGCGCATTAGATTCAATGGCACATTGGACTCGAGTAAATATGACTTTGGTTTGAAAATTGAGATGCGCATTAGATTCAATGGAGCATTAGACTCAAGTAAATATGGTTTGGGTTTGAAAATGATTAGATTCAATGACACCTTACTCAAGTAAATATGGCTTTGGTTGGGAAATTGAGATGCGCATTAGATTCAATGGAGCATTAGACTCGAGTAAATATGGTTTTGGTTTGGAAATTGAGATGCACATTAGATTCAATGGTACATTAGACTCGAGTAAATATGACTGGTTTAGAAACTGAGATGCGCATTAGATTCAATGGCACCTTCGACTCAAGTAAATATGGTTTTGGTTTAGAAATTGAGATGCGCATTAGATTCGATGGCGCGTTAGATTCAAGTAAATACAGGTAGGAGGTGTTCAGGTGCATTTTAAATTCGGACAGCTTGTTTAGCTCACTTTAAGGTCACTATACTTCAGAAATGACTCGAAAGCACATAATGACAGGACATTGGGGAAAATGGGCCATCAAGTAAAAAACCAGGCTACTCTGACTCTTCACTCGATTCTCCAGACCAAAAAGCACTCAGACTGCACAGCCTTGAATGAGAACACCACAGGCACGCATACCTTCGCTTGCTGTTCATGCTCCCCACTTTGGACCAGGTGTCGGCCTCTGGGTTGTACACTTCCACGGTGCTGAGCCTCAGCTGCCCGTCGTAGCCCCCAATGGCGTACAGGAGCCCGTTCAGCACCGCTACGCCGACTCGACTGCGGGCCGTCGTCATGGGCTGGCACTTCTCCCAGCGGTTGGCAATGGGGTCGAAGACTTCCACCACGTTCAGCGAGTCGCCTGCATAGAAATTTGCTGCTCACATTTTAAAAAGTGACCACCAGAAGGAAAAGCTCACTGATACTGCTCAAATGGAATTGTAGTACCAATTTGGGGTGTTGCAGGGGTATCCGGGCTGGATGGCCGTGTTCTAGCAGCATTTTCTCCTGACGTTTCGCCTGCGAATGCAGGCGAAACATCAGGAGAAAATGCTGCTAGAACACAACCATCTAGCCCGGAAACCCCGCAACAACCCAGTGATTCTGGCTATGAAAGCCTTCAACAAAAAATACTGATTTATTTGTTTGTTTGCTTATTTATTTACTATATTTATATTCCACCTTTCTCTGTCCCGAAGGAGACACAAGGTGGTTTACAGACAGGAAATAATTCAACGCTTTAATAACAAAATACGATTAAAAACATTTAAATTAAATTAAAAACAAAGTTTAATTATATTTTAAACATTAGAATCACTATAAAACCACGCTAGCAGCAATCATAATCCAGGTCATTCCAGTAGTTGTTGCACCTAATTCCACTTTGTAACTACTTTAGCCTCACTTGTAGGTATGAATATGTTTTAATAATTTTCTCCCCATCACTGAAGAAAATACCTAATTCTATCCCAGTATTTGCACATCTTGAAGCATTTTGTGAAATTATTCTGTGCAGAAACATAGAAGCAAAAATTGTATTCCTTTGCAGAAAGATATGTTTTGCACCAAGCCCAACGATTTTTCTCAAGGATTTCTGTGCAAAATAACTCTCCTAAAATTTGCAAATGCCTTTATGATCTTCCAATCCCTACAAGAGAGGCAGCTTTGCATGCTTTTGAAGAATACCATCCCTGATAAGATGACAGAATTGAAAGATACCTGCAGAGTTGAGTCCTCCGACGGCGTAGATGAGTCCTGCAATGGAGGTGCAACAGCGGGGGCGGGTTTTGAAAGCCGAAAGGTGCGGCTGGCGCTCTGGCATGAGGTGATAGTCTTTTGCTTCGTCCACCAGGTCCCTATGAATCAAAGAGTTGGTCAGAAGTCAAATGTGCTTCCTCAGAGTCCTTATTTGGAAGTCTGCCAACCAAATTATATATAGGTGCAGGTGAATTTTTAAAACAGGAAAGAGGCAACTGGGAGATCTTGAAACTGTTTCTTCAATTGTTTTTGCTGCCACCTTTTTGTTTGGTATTAAGGCTGAGTTGTATGTGAAGAGTATACTTAGTAACATCCTTTTGTGTTACAATAGTGTTTGTTTTATTTAGAGGGTTTAAATCACAATGATGTTTACACCGAGGCTGTTATAGAGTGTTAACAATAAATAAAATGTTTATTTAACAGGCTTAAACTTCTTCTGGTACAAATGCGTAGTGGTTTCAGTAAGTTACTGGTACATAAGCTTCTGGTTACGTCTGATGTACAATTCTTAGATGGGTTCTGGGTTTAAATCTTGATGTCAACAAAATAGGAGATTATCTCAGGAAATTAATCGCTGATAATAATTTCAAACAAAATTCTCTCTTTCTGGAACCTAGCCAATAGCCTTTGGCCTAGCCTTCCTCAGGGACAAAGAACAGACCACAAGCAAGGTCCTTTTCCACTATCTGTATTCCTAGCTAATTTCTCTAGCTCTTGAATACCACAAAAGATTAACCCAGCTCTCCTATCTAACACCAACCAACTGTTATCACCAACTAACAAACTCCCAATGAACAAATTCCAACTGCCAACTCAAGCCTCATTTCAAAAGGTACATTTTTTTTCTTTTTGAATGCTAGGCTCCACCCCCTATTTCTAACCAATCCTGGCCGTCTAATCTCTGCTTCCTGGATTAGGACACGCCCCCTCTAGAAAACCCTTAACTAAGATGGTGTCTCCTTGTTTCCCTATCCTAAGATGGCCGCCAGGGCTTCGCCAGGCCCACATTCTAGCTGCTTAAGGTAAGGAGTTCTTTACAGATGGCCTTTGAGAAGACCGCAATGCCTGGGTTAGAACACTCTCTATAACACAGTTGTAGAAAGTCACACATGGTTTTTCATTTAATTTTTGGTTCCTTAAAAGCCTCAGATAATGCAATCTGTGCTAGGTCCTCTTAACCAATGCAGCTGTCGTACGAACACTGCTCCAGGTTGGGATCTCCCTCTTTCTGTGGTCTGTATGGGGAAGAAAATGTTTCACAATTAGGACTCCACACCTGCCATTGCTCGTGGGGCTTCCTCCTGTCCCACTCACCTGCACTTGTGGCAGCTGCGGACCAGGTCATCCTGTTGCACGCGATCCGTGAGGAACTGGGGCCGGCAGAGAGGCAGTCGGATTTTGGAGAGGAGCTCGGGCAGAAAGGGCTCTCGGTGCTCTCGGTCGTACCTCACCCAGGCCAAGGCAGCTTCAAAGACCTTTCGGAAGAGAGATCGGTCAGAGACGTTTCTGGTACAGCTTCACAGCCAAAGGCAAGGGATTCTTTTAGGTTTGGAGAAGTAATGCATGGAGAAGGCGCTGACAAATTACCCTGGCCAAAGGTTTGGAAGCCAAGTCTTGTGAGGAGTGGCTTAGGGATATTTTGCTTGGAGAAAAGAAGGCTGAGAGAAGGGGACACATGAGAGCCATGCCTATAAGCAGAGGCTAGGTGGCCATCTGTTGGGAGGGCTTCCATTGTGTGACTTGAGTGGCAGGGGGTTGGACTGGATGGCCCTCATGGCCTCCTCCAACTCTATGCATCTGTGAAAGGCAGAAAAGGTGGCTTTTGATAAAGACCCCCAACTTCGAATCTGTCCGCTCACCTGTTCCTCCAGCTTCACGTTGAGCTCGTCCCTCGAGACCAGCTCCAGGACGTCCTCGAAGGAGAGGGCCAGGAACTCCTCCGACATGGAGACCTCCACAAAGTGCTGGTGGATGAAGCTGTTGGCAGCGTCGTAAAGTACGGCACACATCATGGTTTCGGCAAACTGGCGCACGCCCAGGCAGTTCTTTGGGTGAAGCCTTTGGCAACAAAGCAAAAAGAGATGAGTATGTGGGAAATATTGGCATGCTTTGGGGTCCTTTTTCCTCTGGTTGCTAAATGGCATCCAAGGGCTGCAGGAGTGACACCCCAATTTCACCCCAATAAAGGAAGGCAGTCCTAGAAGACGATATGACAGCAGACATCTTTGATTAGCAACAGCAGGGATTGCTTTGGAAGCCTCTTGAGCAGTGATTCTCGACCTTCCAAATGCCGCGACCCCTTAACGCAGTTCCTCATGTTTGGTGACCCCCAATCATAATATTATTTTCATTGCTACTTCGGAACTGTAATTTTGCTAATATTATGAATCGTAATGTAAATATCTGATATGCAGGATGTATGGACCAAATTTGGCACAAATGCCCCGTATGCCCAAATTTGAATACTGGTGGGATTGGGAGAGGTTGATTTTGTCATTTGGGAGTTGTAGTTGGTGAGATTTATAGTTCACCTACAATTAAAGAGCTTTCTGAACTCTACCAACGATGGAATTGAACCAAACTTGGCACACAGAACTTTCATGACCAAGAGAAAATACTGAAAGGGTTTGGTGGGCATTGACCTTGAGTTTTGGAGTTGTAGTTCACCTACATCCACAGACACTGAGGACTCAAACTTGGCATGAATATTCAATATGTCCAAATGTGAACACTGATTGACTTTGGGGGAAATAGGCCTTGGCATTTTGGAGTTGTAGTTGTTGGGATTTATAGTTAGCCTACAATCCAAGAGCATTGTGAACCCCACCAACGAGAGAATTGGGCCAAACTTAATACAAAGAACCCCCAAGACCAATAGAAAACGCTGTGTTTTCTCATGGTCTTTGGCAACCCCTCTGACACCCCCTTGTAACCCCCCTAGAGGTCACAACCCCCGGGTTGAGAAACACTGCAATAAATGTTTCTCAACCTAACCTGGCACGAACACTCAATATGCCCAAATGTGAACACTGTTGGAGTTTGGGGGAAATAGATCTTGACATTTGGGAGTTTTATTTGCTGGGATTTATAGTTGACCTACAATCAAAGAGAATTCTGAACCCCACCAATGACAGAATTGGGCCAAACTTCCCACACAGAATCCATATGACTTGAAGGGACTTGCTGGTGCGAGCCTCCCTCCAGCCTCACATGTGTCAGGATTAATTTAGTTATGTATGTGTTTTTCAATGTGCTTCTATGTATTGCCACGATGGATGCCACTGTGAATTGAAAATGCCATGCAGAAATGTTTATACTTTGAGGCTGTGATTAAGTGAACTTGAGAAAGTAAGATAAGGTTTGTTCTTGCTGACAACAGAAGGGAGTTGCCAGTCTCAGCAAGAGATGATAAACAGATGTGAAGAGGCTTTCGGTTTTGACTACTTCTTGAATTGTAGCTCGCTGTAGAAAGACGTGTCTATTGTATGTACTTAGTAAACTTAGTTTCTTTTGTAACTCAAAGCCTGCAGAGTCCTTATTTTGCAACCCAGTGTCTGCTTGATCTAGCATTCCTTCCGTTGGGGATCGCCAATCTCTGACAACATGCTCTCTCACCTGCATATGCGCACTACGCTACCAAGCACTGAGCGTGCCTGCTCTCCCCTCCTTGCTTGGAGTCTCAGAAACAGCCCTCCCCTTGGCTGAGAGGCTGGCCAACCACAGTAGAGGAGGGCTTTTGAGGGGAGGATTTGCCTTGTGTTTCCAAAAAGGAAGAGAACGACAAGTGATCTTCAGCCTTCTCTGCCAAAGGCGTTCCTAAGACCATCAAAAATATACATTTTCTGATGGTCTTTGGTGACCCCTCTGAAACCCCCTCGCACCCTCCCCCAGGGGTCCTGACCCCCACTGCTCTTGAGGGTTCCATGATAGTCCTGAACTCACCCTGGCTAGTGGAAGGGAAAAAATGTATGCACAGAGCACATTGAAGCACATGAGGAAGTGGCAAACAGAGATTGGGTAGACTTGCAAACATTCACAGCTGTGCTTTTGTGCACTTAAGATTTCTGTTCGTTGTGATTTACAGTTAGCAGCAAGTGTTTATTTGCTGGGTTGTTGTAGGTTTTTCCGGGCTATGTGGCCATGTTCTAGAGGCATTTTCAACTGACGTTTCGCCTGCATCTATGGCAAGCATCCTCAGAGGTAGTGAGGTCTGTTGGAATTAGGGAAACAAGGGGTTTATATATCTGTGGAATGACCAGGGTGGGACAAAGGACTCTTGTCTGCTGGAGCTAGGTGTGAATGTTTCAACTGACACCTTAATTAGCATTTGATGGCTTGGCAGTGCCTGGGGGAATCTTTTGTTGAGAGGTGGTTAGATGTGCCTGATTGTTTACTTTCTGTTGTTTTGCTGTTGTAATTTTAGAGTTTTTTTAATACTGGTAGCCAGATTTTGTTCATTGTCATGGTTTCTTCCTTTCTGTTGAAATTGTCCACATGCTTGTGGATTTCAATGGCTTCTCTGTGTAGTCTGACATGGTGGTTGTGAGAGTTTAAATGTTTACATGTCACCCAGAGGACCTATGATATCAGCAGCCCCTCGGCTGTGGAAAGAGTGGGCCCCTGCCCTTTTGTCCACAGGCCTATCCGTGGTGTGGCTTAGCTCAACTAGCGCTTACAGTGACACGCCTAACTTCCCCAGAGGCCCCACATTTTTAAAATTCCCCTTCTCTGACCAACAAAGAAGTGTGTGGCTGGGCTTCCTTCTTCTCCCAGCAAAATGCCTGGACAGGATTCCACAAACGACTGGCTCAAAAGTTCTAAGGCGGGCCACTCAAGAGTCTTATCTTCCCCATTTTGACCTTTATCTCAGGCACATTTTGAGGAGGCATCTGTGCCGGAGGGAGCAGACCTTTGGTTGAACCCCAAAAGAATGCAAAGTGTTTTGAAAAGAGAAAGGCGGCAGCTGCCATTTGGATGGGAAGGGCAGCCCCATCTTCCATGCCAAGGGCTCAGGTTACTGGGCCTGGGCAAGAGGGGTTTCCAAGGCAGTGGGGCTGCTTGGCCCTGTAGCAACAAGGACCTCCAACTTAGAATCCTACAGTTGGAAGGAACCACAAGGGTCATCCAGTCCCACCAAAAATCAAAGCAACTGGAATTTACTGTATTAGATCTGAAGGAAAACTCTCCTGAAGTTCTTCATCAGTGGTTCTCAACCTTCCTAATGTCGCAACCCCTTAATACAGTTCCACAAGTTGTGGTGACCCCCAACCATAACATTATTTTCGTTGCTACTTCGCAACTGTTATTTTGCTCCTGTTATGAATTGTAATGTAAATATCTGATATGCAAGATGTATTTTCATCCAATGGACCAAATTTGGCTCAAATCTATCTAAACAAAAATGTAATGTTCGTTTGTTGGATTAACATAACTCAAAAACCACTGAATGAATTGACACGAAATTTGGACACGACACACCTGCCAGGCCAACGAGTGAGCATCACTCATAAAAACACTGAAAAACACAACAGAAAGGACTTAAAAGGCCAAAAAAACAAAAAGATGCTGCAGCGCATGCATAAAAACAACTCCCCCTGGCAAACAAAACAAATCATAGCATATACACACTCTCTTCCGGATTACAGCTCCCAGCATCCCCTAGACCAGGCCCTTTAGGAGAGCAGGGTGATCCAAATGCACTGCTTCCAAGATGCAAGCTTGCTTCTCCTTGGATTTCATTGAGAGCATCCCAATCCCTGCATATTTCCAATTTCCTATTCCTGGACTGCAACTCCCAGCAATCCTCCAGATAGACAAAATACATAGATTAGATAGAGATAGACAGGTAGGTAGATTGATTGATCAAGAGGACTGCTGGGAGTTGCAGTCGAAGAATACGTAGAGAAGGAAGAATGGGGAGAAAGAGGAAGGGAAAGAAAAAGGAAGGAAGGGAAGAGGAAGAGAAGGAAGGAAAGAATGAAAGAAAAAAAGGGAAGGAATGAGAGAAAGAAAGGAGAAAAAGAAGGAGGGAAGCTTGGCCACAGCAACACGTGGCAGGCACAGCTAGTACCCAATATGCCCCAAACTGAATACTGGTGGGGTTGGGGAATGACTGATTTTGTCATTTGGGAATTGTAGTTGCTCCGATTTATAGTTCACCTTCAATCAAAGAGCATTCTGAATGATGGAATGGAACCAAACTTGGCACACAGAACTCCCATGACCAACAGAAAATACTGGAAGGGGTTGTAGTTTGCCAAGAGTTTGGAGTTGTAGTTCACCTACATCCAGAGAGCATTGTCCATCATCAAACAATGATGGATCAGGACCAAACGTGACACGAATACTCAATATGCCCAAGTGTGAACACTGGTGGAGTTTGGGGAAAATAGACCTTGACATTTGGGAGTTGTAGTTACTGGGGTTTATAGTTCACCTACAATCAAGGTGCACTCTGAACCCCATCAATGATAGAATTGGGCCAAACTTCCTACACAGAACCCTCCTGACGAACAGAAAATGCTGTATTTTCTGATGGTCTTTGGTGACCTCTCTGACACCCCCTCACGACTCCCTCAGGGGTCCCGACCCCCAGGTTGAGAAACGCTGTTCTTGATTGTTTTGATATTTAAGCTATTCAGAGGTTGGGGGATCGCAGGCATTAAAGCAATTCCTCGCCACAGACTTAGTCATCAAATACTTGTCTGACTGAATGGAATGCTTTAATAATAGGATAATTGAGAAACTCTACTGAGCAAGTTGGGAAACACACCTTTGGTTTTTTTTACTTCACTACAGCCTTCCTATCCAGTGATGAAATTACAACCCTATCAAAGAAAAGTTATAGGGACTTGACGTCAGGATGGACACCGAAGCAATAAAGAGAGCTAGATTCTCTGCCAGATTTCCTCTTTTTGAAAAACACGCCATGGGAAAAAGAACTCTTTGATTAGATAACTCAACCTCTCCTCTCCAAGGTATTTTTATAGCCTTGGGGTTTCAGGCTGAAAAGATTAACTTCATGGAAGACAAAACAAATGGATGATCACTATACAGCAGGCATGGGCAAACTTGGGTCCTCCCTCCCGGTGTTTTGGACTTCAACTACCACAATTACTAACAGTCTACCTAACAGGAAGGGCCCAAGTTTGCTCGTGCCTGCTATACAGTAATGCCTCCATACCTGCAGATCCCATACCTGCAGTTTCACGTGCCTCCACCCAAAGACAAAGCAATATCTCTAGGAGTTTGTGATGTCCCCCCAGAAGCTTCCACAGAGTCTCACAGAAGGACTAGCAAATTCTTAGAGGATAGCTGGGCCCTACAATGCAACTCAATGGTATGTTGTGTTGTGGTTCAGATAATGACGATGAGGGGATTGTGATTCCAGAGCCTGGGAGAGTGGTGGGTGGCTCTTTCAATGAGGGATATGAGGGGATTTCAGGGCAAGTTTCTGTCTGTGAGATGGGGCTTGAAAGTGTCAGCAGATAGGGGGGCAACCTTTTGCCCACAAGGAGCTTAACAACCCCTGATAAAGACCTGGCAAACCAAGATGGCTGGTCTGAGGGAGCAGCTGGGCTAGAAAGGGATATCAGAATCAGTCCTGGGGAGAAAACCATCGAGCTCAGGAAATCAAGGAGGCTTCGTAAGAATGAAGCACAGAGAAAATTTGGCAAGCCAGAAAGCCAAAGTCAAAGAAATGACTTCATGTTTTGCAGTCCTTAAAGTAGAGAGTTCCCCTTTGGGAATTCAGATCAGGCAACACTGCGAAGTTGTGAGGATATCTAGTCCTGTTCCAGTTTATAGGTTTAAGGTCTAAGAACCTGGGAGTTTTGGTTATGGGTTTTTCTGGATTCATGTTCAAGTTTTGATTCTTGTTCTCTGGATCTATGCTCATGTTATTTATTTATTTATTTCTATACCACCCCTCTCAGCCCGCAGGCGACTCAAGGTGGTTCACAAGGCAACAATTCAATGCCAACAACATCATAAAAACATTTAAAAGCATTCACCATAACAATAATAAAAACAAATCTATTCATCTTCTAGATAAAACATAATCCGATCTCATAATCCAATTGCTCTATAATCATATGTCTGTTACACTGCCTTTTCAAACGCCTGCTCGAACAGCCAGGTTTTGACTTTTTTTTTTTGGAAGGTCAAAAGGGAGGGAGTCGATCTAATGTCTCTAGGAAGGGCGTTCCATAGCTGAGGGGCCACCACTGAGAAGGCCCTGTCTCTTGTCCCTGCCAAACATATTTGTGATGCAGACAGAGTTGAGAGCAGTGCCACCCCAAACGATCTTAACCTCCTAGATGGTTCATAAGGGGAGATGCGTTCGGACAGGTAAGTTGGGCCAGAACCGTTTAGGGCTTTATAGGCTAAAGCCAGCACTTTGAATTGAATTGCCCGGTAGCAAACCGGCAGCCAGTGGAGCTGGCGCAACAGAGGAGTTGTATGCTCCCTGAACACTGCTCCTGTTAGTAATTTGGCTGCCGTCTGTTGGACCAACTGAAGCTTCCAAGCAGTCTTCAAAGGCAACCCCACGTAGAGGGTGTTGCAGTAGTCTATACAGGATGTAACAAGAGCATGGAGTACCGTGGCCAAGTCAGACTTCGCAAGAGTTACATGAAAACAAGAGTTTTGACTCTTGTTTTCATGTACATTTTGGATTATATGGAATGTTGCCTTTGAAGTGTTTTGCTTCTCACCAGTTGGGTTGGGTTTTTGACTTATTGACTACTTTTTATTATTACCTGTTGGATTTTGTTTTACTTCTTTTGGTAATTTCCCCCCTTTTTTATATATATACATTTACCAATAAACTGTTTTACTATTGCTTTTGGATTCCTGGTTGGTGCAAAGGGAAAGGTGAACTCTGGCTGTGGTGCAACATGCTGGGACTAAAAATGAAGTAATTTAATATAATTCAGTTGTATGAACTGGTTTCATGTAACTGCAGTCCAGCCAGAACATATCCCTTCCCCCCCCCCCCCCGTCCCCCCAGTTACAGGGATCTTATCTTAACAGAACTGACTTCAAAGGAGGCAACTGCACCTCCTTTTGCTGTTCAATTTCTTCCCTAAAGAAGAGGAGTCCAGCAAAGCCACAGTTACCCCTTTTATAAAGGATACTAGCTTTACCCGCGTTGCTGTGGCCAACCTTCCTTCCTTTTCTTCCCTTCCTTCCTCCCTCTTTTTCTTCCCCTTGTACTTTCCCTTCTTCTTTCTTCCTTCTCTACCTGTTTCTTTCCTCCCTTCCTTTGCTCTTTGGTTCCATCTTTCCTTGTCTCTCTCCTTCCTTCCCTCCTTCTTTCTCTCTTTCGTTCCTTCTTGCCTTCCTTCCTTCTCTACCTTTCTTTCTTTCCTTCATTCTCTCCTTCTTTCCCTCTTTCTCTCCTTCCTTTCTTCCCCCTTTCTGTGTATATGTGTTTTGTGTGTGTATATATGCGTATATATGTGGTTTTGCGCATGCGTTGTAATGTATTTTTTGTTTTCCGGCTTTTAAAGTCTCTTCTGCTCTGTTTTTCAATGTTTTTAAGAGTGATGGTCACTTGTTGGTCTGATAAGTGTATTGTGTCCAAATTTGGTGTCAATTCATCTAGTGGTTTTTGAGTTCTGTTAATGCCACAAACGAACATTACATTTTTATTTATATAGACTAGCTGTCCCCTGCCACATGTTGCTGTGGCCCACCTGGGGGCTCTGTGTGGGAGAGTTTGGCCCAATTCTATCATTGGTGGGGTTCAGAATGCTCTTTGATTGTAGGTGAACTATAAATCCCAGCAACTACAACTCCCAAATGTCAAGATTCTATTTTTCCCTAAACTCCACCAGTGTTCACATTTGGGCATACTGAGTATTCATGCCATGTTTGGTCCAGATCCATCATGGTTTGAGTTCATAATGCTTTCTGGATGTAGGTGAACTACAACTCCAAAACTAAAGGACACTGCCCGCCAAACCCTTGCAGTATTTTCTGTTGGTCATGGGAGAACTGTGTGCCAAGTTTGGTTCAATTCCATCGTTGGTGGGGTTCAGAATGCTCTTTGGTTGTAAGTGAACTATAAATCCCAGCAATTACAACTCCCAAATGACAAAATCATTTTTTTGAGTGAAGGACATACATTGGGTTGTTAGGTGTCTTGTGTCCAAATTTGGTGTCAATTTGTCCAGTGGTTTTTGAGTTCTGTTAATCCCACAAACGAACATTACAATTTTATTGATATAGATTTGGCAAGGAAAGCTCATTCTTGCACCTATATTCAATCAGAGACAACCACATTTCCACCTATAATACTTCTCACCTTCACAGTGGCAATGCCAACATCTCATGGAAAAACCTTCATGGAGGAATGCTTCTCCGTATTAAAAGGTGCAAAAGGTGTTTGAAAGGGGAACTGGCCATTTTGCGGCCTTCACCTCTTTTGCCAGGAGAGTGAGGGGACAATACAACAGCAGCATTCAGCTCAGCCTCCTTCCTCCCCAGGACGTCCAGCCTCCTCACCTCTCTCTGAGGAAGGAGCAGCAGGCATCCTTGATGTTCTGCAGCTGCAGGAAGCTGGCTCCCATCAGCAAGGACTGGACATTCTGCTGGTCTATCGCCAAGTGACCGTTGTAGGCAAAGTTGATCAGAGCTTCTAGTGCGCTGAGCCAGATAAAGAGAAGCGGGGAAGAATCAGCAGTATTCAACACTCACAACTATTACCACATCAAGCAAATTATACTTCTGAAAAGGGGAAAAGGTCAGCTCCAAATAATAATAATAATAATAATAATAATAATACCGACCCACATGTTTTCCTCAGATTGGGTTGTGGCACAACTGGTTGGGAGTCAGCTGCATTAAATCACTTCTGATTGAAAGATCATGAGTTCGAAGCTAGCCCGGGTCGGAGTAAGCTCCCGACCATTTGTCTAGCTTGCTGTCAACCTTTGCAGCCCAAAAGACAGTTGCTTGTTGTTGTCAAGTAGGAAATTTAGGTACCGCTTACGCGGGGAAGCTAATTTAACTAATTTACGACACCATAAAACTCTCCAGCAGTTTGTTATCGAAAGAATGAGGAAGTACTTCATCTGTGTCACAAGTGGATGGTGAAGCGACAGCTCCCCCAGTGGCTGGAATTCAAAAAGCATACCCTCATGAAGCTGGAAAGTTAAATAGCCTCTGTGTGTCTGTCTATATATGAAGACATGGCTCTGGAGCCAAGCGTTCGACTAGAGGATAGCAGCAATACGGAAAGGAATTTTGGAATTTTCACAACATTGGATTCTCCCATTTTGGCTTTACTGGCATGTTAATGTATTCTTAAATGAATGTATTGATGATTTTGTATAATGTTTTTAAAATGATTTTACTGTTGTAATCGTAATTTTATGATGTATATGTTGTTAGCATCATTTGATGCTTATGTGAGGCTGCCTAGAGTCCCCTTATGGGGAGAAGGACGGGGTAGAAATGTACAAAATAAATAAAATTGTGTGTCTATGGCATTCAATGTTTGCCATGTATATGTGCATTGTGAATCCCCTTCGAGTGAGAAGGGCGGATTATAAATACTGTAAATAAATAATTCAATAATGACACCAAGCTTCTAATTTTGGACCACAAAAATTGAAGGAAAAGATTGTAATACAGAAAAGATTGTAATAAACATCAGGAGAGAATGCTACTGGAACATGGCCATACAGCCCGGAAAACTCACAGCAACCCATTCTGAAAGCCTTCTTACATTCTGAAAGCCTTCGACAATGCATTAATTCTCCTGTGTATATCCACCCTAATTCATTCGTCCACAAGGACTGGGCAACTGCTTGGTCTGGAAGGCTGGGAAATGTCAGAGCGGCCCATGGAAGGAAATGTGGCACCACAACCTCTGGGTCTGTACCTTGGGTCCATGCCTTGCATGACAATCTCGTCTTGCTTGCACTCCATCATGTCGTTCGTGAACATGGCGTGGAAATACGGGATCGAAGCCGCCAAGACGATCCGGTGGGCGCTAAACTTGTGGTCTCCGACCTGGAAAAGAAACAGAAGATGGGCAACTATTATTTATTTACGACATTTATATGCTGCCCTTCTCACCCCGAAGGGGACTCAGAGCAGCTTATAGATAGATAGATAGATAGATAGATAGATAGATAGATAGATAGATAGATAGATAGATAGATAGATATAGACATAATAGAATCATAGAGTTGGAAGAGACCTCATGGGCCATCCAGTCCAACCCCCTGCCAAGAAGCAGGAATATTCATTCAAAGCACCCCCAACAGATGGCCATCCAGACCAGCTTAAAAGATATATACACATACAATATATTATATTATTAACATAGTACAATATCAGTATTATATATTACTATATTGTACTATACCATTATATTGTAATATTATTAGTAATATTACATGTAATATAAAATATTTAATTATAATATCATATTATTAGTATTATATTGTATTACATTATAATATTATAAATATTATATGTATATGCAACATATTATACCAAGGAGGGAAGGGCAAATCTAGAAGTGGGATTCAGACTGGGATCTCTGGCAAGGCAGCAAGCTCCGAGGGAAAACACAGGTTTGCATGGAGAAAATTTCTGACTCCACGTATAAGCAGAGTTTTTCAGCTGTTTTTTAGATTGAAAAAGCCCCCCTCAGCTTACACTTGAGTCAAAGTTATTGATTATTATTATTACATGTATTATTTTACCTTATTATTATTATTACATGTATTATTTTACCCTATTATTATTATTATTATTACATTTATTTACTGTATTATTGTTATTATTATATTTACATTATTTTACTCTATTATTATTATTATTATTATTAATACATTTATTATTTTACTCTATTTATTATTATTACATTTATTATTTTACTCTACTTATTATTATTACATTTATTATTTTACTCTTTATTATTGTTATTATTACATTTATTATTTTATCTTTATTATATTGGAAGGATACGTAAGCACACTTGACACAAAAAGGTTAGAATAATGGTTTAATCAGAGCTGGACAGTCTTATCTTAAATGAAAGCTTTATGTAAATATTCAAATACATTTAACCTATTGATGCCTCCATTAATGTAATTTTTTGGCATCTATTTTTATTTTGAAATTTACCAGTAGAGGCTGAATTTCCCACTCTCGGCTTATACTCGAGTCAATAAGTTTTCCTAGTTTTTTGTGGTAAAATTAGGTGTCTCGGCTTATATTTGGGTCGGCTTATACTCGAGTATATGCGGTATATAAAATATATTATGAGTTTGTAAATGCTTTCTATGCATGGAGACTTTTGGGACACCCAGTATAGTCTTTCTTAACAGGGCACAGCCAGGTAAACACAGCCAGGTAAAATAGTAAAAAGATTCATTTTCTTACAAATGAGAGATTGGTAGTGAATGAGGTTAGGTACTTAATGCTAACTAACCGTCCCCAGCCATGCATTGCTGTGGCCCAGTCTGTGTATGTGTGTTTTGTGTGTTTATATTTGTGTATATGTGTGGTTTTGCACATGCTTTCTAATGTAATTTTTTAATTTTTTAGCTTTTTAAGTCTCTCCTGCTGTGTTTTTCAGTGTTTTTATGAGTGGTGGTCACTTGTTGGCCTGATATGTGTATTGTGTCCAAATTTGGTGTCAATTCGTCCGGTGGTTTTTGAGTTATGTTGATCCCATAAATGAACATTACATTTTTAGATTTGAAAAAAAATACACAGCTCCAGATCTTCCATTGGGTTGATGTGTTAATCCTGCTTTGCACCCTTGCTTATGTTTTGCTTTTAAGATGGTTTTTGTAAGGTCATTTCGAGAGAAGGCAGCAAGTCAAAGAGAAGACGCAAACACCACCTCGTTCCACCTCCGAAAACAGGATGTACCTTGCTTTTAATTATTGCTCTCTGTAACAAGAGACTGTTCTCTGCAAAGCTGCATGCTAATAAGACCTTTGCCCAGGGATGCCTTTGGAGGAGCCACAGGTACTCTGGAAGATGCCAGACCTGCAGCTCAAAATAGGCTCCGGAGACAAGGAAGCCTTTGTGGCCTTAATCCCCAAAAGGGCCCTCAGAGATCTGCATCTGAGTTATGAATTTGTCCTGCAAGAGAGGCCTGGAGGCACCAAATGTACTGGGACAAGGATATGAATCAGCCTGGAGTCAGAAGAGACAGTGAAAAGCCATCATGTACTATCTCATCTCTCTGCTGGGGTTTGGTTCCAGGCCTCCCTGTGGATACCCAAATCTCTCGTTGCTCATGTTCTGTCACCGCTGGGCTTAAAATGAAGTGCTTTTAAAACAGGATGTGTAACTTCAGCCCAACGGGAAGCCAGGGCCCCCGAAGAGAAGATTTTAGAGATTCCCTCCCCCCCCATAAACAGTCTTTAGAGGGCTTGAGCTTAAATATTTATTTATTTATTTATTTAAAAAAAAGTTTTATATACCAGCCTTCTCACCTCTCTTGAGGGACTCAAGACCGGTTTCCAACCATAATATCACATACAGTTAATAAAAACATAATAATTCATTTTACACTAAAACATTAAAACAGCAATTACATTCAATAACTACAATGGTCAGTCGTCACACGAACTCGTTGTTCATCATCATCCATCCATATCTGGCTCACTCGTCGAATTCCTGTCTCCATAACCAAGTCTTCACCTGTTTCCTAAATGTCAGGATAGATGGGGCGGTTCTGATCTCCAGTGGAAGAGAGTTCCAGAGTCGAGGGGCCACCACCGAGAAGGCCCTGTCCCTCGTCCCCACCAGACGCGCTTGCGAGGCCGGTGGGACCGAGAGCAGGGCCTCTCCAGACGATCTTAATAATCTTGATGGTTCATAGGGGAGAATACGTTCGGAGAGGTAAACAGGGCCAGAGTCGTTTAGGGCTTTATAGGTTAACACCAGCACTTTGAATTGTGCTCGGAAGCTAATTGGCAGCCAGTGGAGCTGGTGTAACAGCGGAGTGGTGTGCTCCCTGTACCCAGCACCTGTTAGTAGTCTGGCTGCCGAGCGTTGGACTAGCTGCAGCTTCCAGGCAGTCTTCAGAGGCAACCCCACGTAGAGAGCGTTGCAGTAGTCTAAACGGGATGTAACCAAAGCGTGGACCACCGTGGCCAAGTCAGACTTCCCAAGGTACGGGAAGTCTGACTTGGCCATGGTGGTCCACGCTTTGGTTACATCCCGTAAATACAACAAAGTCTTTATTGATGAACAATCAAACAGAAACTTCTTTTGTCTTCAAAGGTTAAACAAATGCTTCCAGGCTTCAAGTAACTGGTGGCTTCTAACTGTTTCTTTGCTTTACTTCAAAGGAAAATCCCTTTCCAAACTTCTCCCAGGCTAACTGTGAACCTAAACTTATCTGGTGTGGATCCACTACCAGGCTGAACTGCGTCTCAAAACCGAGTGGACCTACCAGTAGGCCTGTAGTCATTTAGCTGGAGTTCTTGATGTTCTTGATGTTTAAATTCCTCAGGGTTGTAAGGCTGTTTCCCTGGAACCTTTGGGAATCTTCAGATGCTCTTAAGACTGTTCTCCCTCGGGAAGTCTTAAGGGTTGAAGCCTTTGTAGAGGAGAAAGTCTGGACACATCCTGTACATTAGCTATTCTTGCAGAGACTAACTAAGAAATGGCTCCCTTCCCTCCCCTAAACCCAAAAAGGGGGCGGGACTAGAGAACCTAATGATGATGAACAGGTGGCCTGCCCTATGACTGCAAACTTTAACAGGAAGCCACCCTGCTGCAGAATCCCAAGCCTTGGGCTGCAAGCAAACACTTAATACAAGGCAAATAAAGTGGGAGCTTCTGGTACAGCTGTACCAGCACAGCTCAAGTCCCATTATTTACCACCACCACCATCGGCAATCCCTTGTATCCAAATCCGATTGCCTTCCATGTGTAAGTCCACAGGTGACTGTGGAGACCTATTCTTGATCCCGCAGTGAGGACATCGGTTTCCAAACAGAAGGTGGTCCTGGTCAGGGTTGGCTTGAGGCACCTTCTTCCTCTTGACATGTTTCTCCCTTTCACTCCCCATTCATTCCTCTTCAAACTCTACAGCACTGCTGGTCACAGCTGACCTCCAGTAAGTGTGTTCAAGTGCCGGGGCTTCCCAGTTCTCAGAGTCTATGCCACAGTTTATATAATTTATTTATTTATTTGTATACCGTCCCTCTCAGTCCGGAGGCAATTTGAGGCGGTTCACGAGGCAACAATTTAATGCCACCAACATCATAAAAACATTAAAACACTTAAAAGCATTAACATATCAAGTAGGATCATAACAAGAATAAAAAAACAAATCAATTCATAGTGTCTAGATCTAGGAAAATAATGCTCCCCATGCTCTATTCTGCTTTGGTTGGACCACACCTGGAATATTGTGTGCAATTCTGGGCACAATTCAAGAGAGATATTGACAAGCTGGAATGTGTACAGAGGAGGGCGACTAAAATGACTGGAGAAAAGGGTCTGGAGAACAAGCCCTATGAGGAGCGGCTTAATTGAAGAGGGTTGCAGAATACGGGTGGCATTCAATATTGGAGTGAGTGTCCCTAGGTTACAAAACTAAGCCTGCATCTCTGTCTTGCATAATGAAAGAGAGGGTTTGGAAGTCATAGTAAGTAAATTGGCCCGCAATTTACACGGCTTTGATGGAAATTTGTACGGTTCCCTTTCTACTCTTGTGGGTAACGTGACTAATCACTGATCCAAATGCACCAGCCCCATCTGTAGAGCCGCTTCGATAATAATCTGCCATTTGCAATTCCGCCAACCTTCCTGAATATTTTACTTGAAGTATGCTGCCTGGTGAAGCATTTATTCTAGCACCTGATCTTAATTATGCCAGCTCTTCCTTGTCTTTTTGATGTCCTAGGAGTATGGACTCGAGCTCTCCGGGGATTTCATAATCTGCAATTTCCTGAAGGTCACAAAAACGAGTTTCCAGGAATCCTGCACTGCCGGAAAGGCCTTCCGCTGCTTCTTCAGGCTTCAGTATG